CGTTGAGTGTAATAAGATCTATAAATGATTAAACGTCATGGTTTGACAGTCCAGGGTAACAATAAACGTATCGACGTCAAAATGACTCTTGCCGTCGTTATCCTAAATTCAAAAACTACAAATTATCATTATTATAAATTTGACTTATTTCATTGTTCAAGTCACTGTTTTTAAGGGTTAGGTATGTTTTTGCCTAGCGTAATTTACGTGAAATCAGAAAGCACCTATAAGTGGTTAGCGTATACACCAATCGCTTTTTAGCTCAACTGAGCCAAAGGCTCAAGTAAGCTTTTTTGATCAAATTTGTCCGTTGTCGGTCGTCGTCGTCGTTGTAACATTTCACATTTTCATCTTCTTCTCAAGAACCACTGGGTCAATTTCAACCAAACTTGCTAAAAAGTATCCTTGGGTAAAGGGGATTCATGAAGGGCCACGCCCTTTTTCAAGGGGAGATAATTATGAATTAGAGAAAAATTAATGGTGTTTTTAAAAAATCTTCTTCTCAAGAACCACGGGGCCAGGAAGATGAAACTCAGGTGGAATCATCCTCATGAAGTGTAGATTCAAGTTTGTTTAAATCATAACCCCGGAGGTAGGGTGGGGCCAAAATGGCCGATCAAAGTTTTACATAGAAGTATATAGGAAAAATCTTGAAAAATCTTTTTCTCAAGAACAACGGGCCAGAAAAGATGAAACTAATGTGGAACCATCCTCAGGCAGTGTAGATTCAAGTTTGTTCAAATCATGACCCCCGGGGCTAGGGTGGGGCCAAAATGGCCGATCAAAGTTTTACATTGGAATATATAGGAAAAATCTTGAAAAATCTTCTTCTCAAGAACCACGGGCCAGAAAAGATGAAACTAATGTGGAATCATCCTCAGGTAGTGTAGATTCAAGTTTGTTCAAATCATGACCCCCCAGGGCTAGGGTGGGGCCAAAATGGCCGATCAAATTATTACATAGGAATACATAGGAAAAATCTCGAAAAATCTTCTGCTCAAGGACCAAAATGTCCGACCAAAGTTTTACATAGGAATATATAGGGAAACCTTTCAAAATCTTCATTTCAAGTACTTCAAAGCCATAATTAGTAATATTATATGGAATCATTCTCAGGTAGTGTAGATTCTAGTTCATTCAAATCATGATCCCCTGGGGGGTTAAAATTCAAGCCCCCCCCCCTCGACCTCAGTAAACTTTCAGTTCTGATCCAATATGTGCTTTTTCTTAGCCGATGTGCTCAGGTGAGCGCTCTGGCCCCTGGGCCTCTTGTTTGTTATGCAACCAAAGGTCTAAACAATATTTTTAACAACGGAAACTTCGTCAAAGCGTGACCTAATACAGTTATTGTTCGGCTCAAAACGCACTCTGGTGAGAGAATGGCACAATCAAATTTATGAACGTATTTACAAAAGCATTGACAAAAACCTCTATGAAGGTTGTTCGAAAAGTCCGTGGACGATGTCAATCTTCGTTGTATTACTCGCCAGAAATTCCAAATAAGCACAATAAAACATGTAGAAATAATTTTATGTTGAAGTGTGAAGTTTCATTCCATTCGATTTAACAAAAATCAATCGACTTCATTTTAAAATCAAAATGTTTTATACCCGCGGAGCACACTTAAAGGCAATGTAACGTCAAAACATAACGTCAAGAATTACAAAAAATACTATCCCTATACATTACACACAGTGTAATCCAATGCACTTTCATTAAATATTTTTTTCTAATACTTGAAATTTATCTATTTAAGAATTGTTCTCCTTGTATAATTTCCTTTGTTAAGGTTTTAGTTTCTATTAGTACTTAACTCTGCTTTCACAGGATAAGCAACCCTGAAGCGCATATTTCTTTCCTTGACGTGCCAACTTTAAAAAAAATGGTTTGATTTTTACAGTTAAACCGGTTGTTCACAGATTGTCCCCATCCGATACAGATTCTCTCTCTCATAAACTGCCTGTACTATTTATCCACACATGCACAACTCACTTGTGACAATTATTTTTTATTCCTCCAACATTTTTTTAGTAAACACAAAATTGCATCTTTATCTGCTGCTCCGTGACGTTCTAAAATGTCATCGTTTTTGTCCTTTTAAATAAGGACTACCTATCTTCTCAAGTTGCTTTCTTTCCAACAAAGCAAAATATAGAGCCTTAATTTGGTATACGAATTGCTGTTACAGTAACAATTCTTAATTTGAAAGCATAGGTTGTTTTTCGTTTTGCTTCGTTTTACAGAAAATATGACTACAGACATTTTTTAATGTGTTGTCTGTAATTTACTAAATTTGACCTGCTCCGCGATCCGATAAATTTTGAATTTCGTAAATTTTTGAAAAAAAAAATAATACGAATCACTTGAATTCATCGAGAAAATATTTCTACCAAATTTGGATAATATATGACGTCAAAATAAAAAAAAAATTATGACAGTTGTCAACGAACTTTTCGAACAACCCACGAAATAGTACACTAAGTTCAAAGAATAAGGAATTTGGTCCCGATTTTTGACTTTTTTGTAAATCCTGGATTGCAATTTATAATTAATTTTTTGTGGAAGTTGGACGATTTACATCATTTATATAGCACCCTTTCGAACGATATTTTATCTAGTTTTGACACGTATATGGACACTGGATGGAAGGGTTGTTTGCTGACTTAGGGATATTACAGAGAGCCAAAAATCTCTCAAGTCCATTGTCTTCAACGAGTTATTTCCCCTAAGTATCGAGGCATACCGTTCATTTCGCATTGTGTTTCATTAAACAGAATATTATTTACAGATTTTAAATATGCTACTGATACAAATGCATATCCTTTGTTTAGTGCGAGTATTCATTAACTATTGAGAGAATTTATTTAATTTATTTTGTCGTGTTTTTCTGTACACGTTAGGTATATTTTACATCAAGATGCCTTATTTAATTGTTCTTTCGCAAAGACATACACTAAAAAGATCTTAACCATTTTTTTGAAAATAGATAAAGGATATTTTCCTTAACCAGAAAAGTGTTGCTGCTTTCTTTCAATCGAGAGCGAAAGTACACAAAATATTTGGTAAAAGTATTTCGACATGGGCCTTTTTACTTGAAATCATAACTGTTAAAAAGCGAATTGTATTCAAAGCAGCAGCGCTTTCCAGAAATACAAAGTACGCAGAAACTATTAATAGCTTATTTTTTTTTATTTCAACAAAGGTATGCCCTTGCAATATTGAAATCTGTCAATGACATACATTTAGTATAAGTACTATGCATTCATTACTTGACTGTCCATCGATGGAACAAAACTTCATATAGTACAGAGTGAGTTATACTATGCTATTTTCATAAGTATTTAGATTTTGTGATAATAAAACAACTTAATAAAAATAAACTTAGTAAACTGTTTAAAAAACAATCTTTTTTGCACGTCTATTTTCCATTGATTTCTCATAGTAAGCCTTAATATTGCTGCGTATGAAAAGTTATATATGAAAACAAGCGTTTATAAAAATATTAAATATGAATTACTGGTGTATACATTTTGTAAAGGAATCAATGGGATTACTTCCATAAGTAATTTGTTTTCTTCTCTTTTTTATATAGCATTCACAGTGCGTGCCCTGAAAATATCGAGTATAATGGAAATACTCGGTTTTGATGGAAAATGCACCTTTATTTAACTTGAAACTTTGGTGACCCTGCACATGATGTAATTTTCTCTCTGATCAATGCATTGTGACGTCATCGAATGTGCCATTTATCCAATTTCCTCTTAACTCCATTAAAAATGGCCCCTAGTATTTTTTTTTAATATTTCATGTGGAGCAAAACCTTTAATGCACAAAATGCAATTACCATAAAAATGTGTCTCTGAAGATTTATCGTGTGTTGTGTTCATATTTTAATGATTATTTCATTCATTCATTATATATCACATATAAAAGAAAAAAATATCAAAACCCTTTTTTAGGAGGAAAAATGTTCATTAATAGTATAAGCCCATTTTGCGTCCTTAGGACAGAGTTGTCTGCTTGGTTTTTTTTTTCTATTGATGTATATGTACACTTTTTTCTATATTGAAATATCATAATTCTCCGGTCAATTTAACACAATGAAAAATTTAACTGATAGATCTGAAACAAGAACATTGATATATCATTATTTTTAAACGCTAATTTTTAAGTAACATAAAAAATATCGTATAAATGTGTGCATTTGAAACGAAATGCTCTCATAAAACAGGTAAAGTATATGTTTTTTATGAAAGTTTAGATAAAACCAAAAATGTATTGTGCAGATTAATGTATTTTGAAAATCCTCCAAAGAGCAAAATTACGTATTTATTATATGGATACTTTATGTTTTTGAGAATGGTATTACACATTTGATAGAGTAGGCAAAGAGGGATAAAAGAAAATTAATGTCAAATCATGCATTGTTAGCATGTGACAAAAACGAGCATGCAAGTAGTTTATGAATTACCTACTGTCCAATGTAAACCTTTGCATGTGATTTTATTTTGTCTAAAGTTATAAAACAAAGCAGAAAAGCTAAAGAATTTTCAAGATTCTAACAAACATTGCTTTTTGTTAATTCATTCAGTGTTCCCACGCTTACGATACTCTATTTATTTATTTTTCTTTCATTAAGTGTAAATGTTTGTGACATGGGTGACATTCTATTCAAATACACACAGTTATATGGGCCTGCAACGATAAAAAAACAAGTTTTTTAAAGGAAAGTTGCAAAATAAGTGAATATTCCTAACGGACGAATTAAAGTTGAATTTCAGTATATACATGTAAACTAGGTTAAAAACATGTATGATAAGAAATAAAATACTTAAATTATTTAAATGAATATATAAGGTAATTTTAGTGATGTCAATGCTTATAGTGTACATGTTCTAATGCAACAATAGTTTAAAAAATCACCGATAAAACATACCTTCTACATGTAAGATGCATATTACTTAGTTTTGTGTAATAATTTGATATTTAGAAATACTTACGTCCGTGCAGTTTACATCAGTAATATTCTTTTCGGAACATGTTACAAATTCACAATGGCTATATTTGCATTTTTGACATTTGGTGACTAATGATTTGTCTAAAATTGATTCTCCTAGAAACGAGAATAAAAAGAGTCGCAATGTACTTTTTGAAATTGTGTGTCTTCCATCTTTGTATTATACTATTTACACCTACCATACATATCAAAGATTTTCTAAATGAATTTGTTTTTAATTGTCTTGTGATTTTTTTTTCCTCTTCGGAATTTCTAAACACCAACTTAAATATATGAGACAACATAAAGAAAAATAAAACAATAAAGAATCCATACCTTGATCTTCCGATACATAATTCTCTCGGACAATTCCAATCCACAAAGGAGCGTCGAAGGTTATGTTGATTATATCACACGCCTCCTCAGCTTTTGATAAATCAATCATTCTGTTTTGATTTGTACTGTTTATGGATTTACATTTTTGGAATGATAGTCTCCATCTTTTTTGATCAACATATATTTCTACAAATCAATTTGTTATAATATAGGAAAAAGGTTAAAATCTGCTTAACTTAAAATTTATCTTGAATCTTTAACGAAACGCAAAGTTTTCCACGTGTTTTCATAGAATGGATAATCAACATTCTAATTCTGAAGATTTTCAAATCAATCAAAAATTTTGCTTTTATTTCATATAATAAATGCTATGTTATGCATGAATCAAATACATGTTTAATTAATGTAGTATCTCAGATTAAAGAAAAAGTAAATAATTTCATTCTAAACATACCAGAAATACTGCAAATGATTCCCAAGGGACTAGAACAGTCAAATGGCTTAAATCTAGAAACATCTTTTTCACACATCAGGGCGATACAGCGTTTTTCGACATCCGTAAATTGATTACCTATATTTATTTTGATTATAACATAAAGCTTTTTCAAAATCTTCTGTTATCCATCCTAATTAGAAAATTAATATAATATTTTTAAGGTTGATCATTTCACATTGATAGAATATCAAATACGTGATGATTTTTTAAAATGTATAATTAATTTTAAAAAATTGATAATCTTAAGATAATCAAAAATGTGGAAAAATACTAGTTTCGGTTGAAAACACAGTAAAAGCTTCGTCTCCGCCACATTCAGTAGACAAAATATCATCCGCATTTAAACAGTCTCTATCGCATTCATCCCAGGAAAGCTGGATTCCTTTGAAATCTTTCTGGAGACATACACACTCTGTAGCCTAAATGTTTCGTAAAGAATCTCAACAATATTACCATAACCATATTCATGTTTGACGTTCGTGTATTTAAAAAGTTATTTTATATTTTATTTTGATTGTATTTAGATGTGAAAACAAATAACTTAATAAGAATGTCAAGTATTATTATGAATTAACTTTTCACACGGTAATTTAAAGGAATGCCAAACGCTGCAAACCTTTATAGCGTAAACACTATAATTTCGTCTCAAACAGTGTTCTTGGCATAGTCCTATTGATGGGTACTCAAGATCTGTCATGTTGATTATAAGTTCACCTCGTAAACTGGAATCTTTGTAGCAACCTTGAAAATCAATTACTTTTATTCATATTATGTATAATAAATAAAGATTAATGAACAGAACATAATACATGGACCCCTACTTAGGGGGGATACCATGCCCATGGAGAGTAAGTATCCGCTGTTGAGAAGCCACATTCTGCCGATGGCCACATGTATAGATCAAGTATATGGAACAAAGTACCATTCCGTATTAAAAACAAGATCTGGTATGAAACATGACAGCCAACAAACTGCAAAAAGGCAAATAATATTTGATTTCAAGTTACTGAAACCAACCATAGAATATACAGTTGTTGATTTTCAACAGGGTTGTTGAAATCTTTGTAACATTAATTTATCTGTCAGAAGTTGTCATGGTTGAAAACTATTGATCGTACTTGATGCATGTTCTTGACTATCAAATAAATTGGGTAATCTAAATACCATCTTCAGTGGAATATTACTACAAAAACATGGAAAGTTGACGATGGAAAGAAAGAACTTATTTCATTTGACATACAAGACTGTAGTTGTTTGAATTTATCATCTATTTTCAGTAAAACATCAACTAAATTCTCACACTTATTAATAGTTTATTAGTTTTAGTTTCTTCGATACACAGTGACAAGAGCATGTTCTACGTATGGACAATTTATAAAAGGAGACAAGTTATTGGCAAACAAGGTTATGAAGTAAATAATGTTTAAAATCATCATTTTATAAGTTTTATGGCCAATGACCTTTTCAGCATATACAATTTATCATAGAGTTGAATGCTGACTGACGCTTTTCATACTAATTGTTAGCATCTTATTTATACACTGAATTTAGGATTGATTTTTTCGTTATTTCCCAATTGTGACACATAGTGGACTCGGCGGCAGTGACCTTTCGTCAGCTGCAGGAGATTCTATTTCCTCCATGCCACCTGTTTTTGTTTTTGAAAACTAGTGGATACTTCCGTAATTTGATGTTTCGGTAAAACATTTATTTATGAAACAGATATTGTTGATTTTGCAGCGTATGTTTCAACATGCTTAGGTTCACTCGTAAATATTTGACTACAGAAGGATAGAGGTAACTATTATTTAGATACAATTTAATAAGTCGTCGATAAATTTAAAATATCGAGTTGAAGTCCACAACAGTTTTTTTTCTTCGAAGTTATAAATATTTTAATAAGTTATCAATCAAGTTAGTGCATAACCAAATTACAACAACTTGCTGAAAGACATCGTTTTAAAAACCTCATCGAACAGGTGTTAATTATACTATCTAATACTACCTAATATTTTTATCCACTGAGAAAATATTTTATGTCTTCCAGTCCAGATAAAATCCATTGAATCCGATGCATTAGTTGTTAAACGTTTGCTAGAATTTCGACACAGTTGTTGTGCATCAAACCAGTTATATGTCGTAATGTTTCCTTTGACTACAAATCAAAAAAGGAAGGCAAATGTTACACTCACATTTCATCCAAAAACATTGATTTAAAACAATTCAGTATTAAATGAAATATCCAATGCCGTCTTCTCCTTCTGCATTTTACATGTCAAGTGAATTAATACATCTTTTACATTTGAATAGGTTTAAAATAAATCATTGTATTTCAGGAAGTTAAACAGTATGAAAGAGAGAAAGTATTTACCAATGAAACAGCATACAATCATATTGATTATTATTCCTATTTCTTTCATTGTATCCATATATTCACTGCAGTCTACATCATCCGGATGTTTACTTCTGTTGTTTAAAGATTTCCTATAAATATATAAAAAGTCATGTTTTCATAATTATATCTTATCTTCTTTCCTGTAAAACTGCTGATATTTAATCATTTCTCACTTTATCTCTGATTTATGTTTAATTAGATTGCCAAAGTGAGTGTTTGTGGTAAAACTGTGCATGGCGCAGGAGTATATGAGTGTCTGCTCCAGCATCGCGGATTAAACATATTATTCTTATAAGGTGGGTCCAGATGCCACTGTGGGACTTGTAGACTTGTTATTAGGATAAGACCGTATTAACTGAGGCCCCGTGCCGCAATACATGGATATGTGTTCTCTACAAGTGTAGAATTTGCTTGATTTAAAAGTGTTTAAACTTTATATTTTAAGAAGTTCTAATTTTGTTAGAGTTTAAAAGTTGGTACATGTTTACAAACATACTTAATATTGAAGCAACCTGCAGACAAGCCTTTCTGACTTGAACAGATTCCCTTCCACATAAGGTTTGTTTGTTATTTAGCGCCTCTCTCGAAATTATTCATATGGTGAAGCCACCACATGCCGGTGGAGAGCATCACATTCTAACCTATGCGTGGCACTTAGTGTCATTGAGCAGCGAGGGATCTTTTTTGTGCTAGCACCTACTGCAGCACAGGACCTCGGTTCATACAGCTTCATATAACGGACCGCGGTGTCCTTGTCCCATTGTAAGATATAAACCCCCTACGTGAGTACGAGCTCTTTACTTCTTGACTCTAGAACAGACACTCTACGAGGGACGATCAGAAAATTCTGCAAGTACGAGGGTTGTCCCGTAAAATCGTGGACAAAGCGGTTTTCTCGAAAAGTAATGGGCGCACTAAGCTGAAAATTTCAGTAAATGTTTATTTATCATATTTAACTGCATGATTTTTTTTTTATAGAATATAGGCAAAAATAAAGATTTTATTATGCTTGAATGTGCACGAAGTATTGTCCTACGGCGCACGGTCAAAAAACCAAGGTTTTATTAAAGAATACACAAGTTTGAATTCAAAATAAAAGTTTTAAATACATAAGATTTGGATTAAAATTATCCTAATTCGATTCCACAATCAATTTTGTAGTCTTTGTAAAAATTTTAAGGCATTTGCTTAATTTTTGGCAGTTTCTTGAGCATTCGAAATTGGAAAGTTGTAAACACAACACACGAAAAATGGCGACGTTTTATGACGTTACGGCGCACCGGAGAACAGTTAAGTTTAATTTCGATGTTGTAATGACACCTTTAGAGACTTGAAATGACCATAGAAGAAAAAAGATTATAAAAATATCACTAAATCCTAAGTATACAAATGAAATAGGAGTTTTCTTAGCGAAGTTTTTTTTGATCGAGACCCTGGGGAGTACAACTTCTAATGTACAGGTGTAATAGCAAAAGACGCTGTCACAGTAGACCGCCGACATGAGATTTTCTATTAGTTGAATGATGGTGAGAATATTGTCCGTAACCTACTAATAAATCTTCAGAAGATCGCATGAGGGTGCCAATTGGTTCTTCGGCTGTTTTTGGAGACTAAAGAATGTGTATCAATGAAATTCCTAAATTTAAGTCGGACTCATCGAACTTCATTTTCAGCAAAGATAAAACGTGACGCTGTTTTAGACACTTTGACGTTATAATCCATGCGCCGTAAGGTGATACAATACATGGCATAAAATCTCATTATTCGTTTATTTATGCATATATTTATCTGAAATTTGCTGTGTATATTACTAAAATATGTACTAAACAATAGTGAAAATTTCAGAACGCAGTGATGTTTATTTTTCACACTAGACAACTTGTCCACGATTTTACGGGACAACCCTCGTATATCTATAAAATAATGAAAACAATATATATCAAAATGTATTCTAGTTTAATCCTTCAAAATAACCCACTTGTAAATAGATTTACCAGATAAATTACGGAAATTAATTACTAGGAACACCAACTACAAGAGCAGAGATAAACTTGGCCTTACGTATATACATTGTATTTTACATATCTCGAATTTAAAATAGCATACTGTATTAATACAATACGTAGGAATAATAATGTTAACTTATGAAGTGAAAAAAAAACTGTTGGATATCAAATAAAATTTCTTTAAAGGGATTTTCTTTTAATTTTCATACATTTTAAATGTATAAATTTTATTACCAACATTTTTCATACTGTAGATTCATTTTAGAAAAAAATAAACAAGACGACAAATCACACCTTCGATTGACTGATCGATTGAATATATACTTCCAATATACTGTAAATGTATTACATTTGGTGTGTACGATATTTGGCGGAAATTCCATTTTCAACAAGTTAGCGAAGATTTGATTTAGCGCTGTCTGACTTTGCTAATTATCTAAGTTAATATACAAGACATTTAGCGGTGTACCTGAATAAGCGGACTCTGCTTTCCTCCAAAATCGCTAAAAAGAATACATCGCTAAGTGTAATACGTTTACAGTATTTCCCCTATGATTCTTAACAAAATAAAATGCAGTTCATTTTTTCATGAACTACATTACATATGTATCACGATTTAGCATGAATATCTCAATTGTTACGTTATAATACCGCTCTTGGCGTCAAAAATATAGTGCACACTGATTTGCTTTAAAAATGACAGTTGAATGCGTAAATTTATGACAAGATATCAGAAAAATAATGTCAATATAAGAAATGAATTTAATTGTTGAAGATTCATGAGGTATATGAACTACAACGCTTCACGCCGGCATTTTTATCATGAAGTGCTAACGCCATGGTGAAGCGTCGTAGTTCATAACCTCATGAAACTTCAAAAATTAAATTCATTTCTTAATTGTTTAACATGGAAAATTTTTCATTAACATGGAAACGCCACCACTTGTCGGTAGAGCTGCAAATTTTGTCATGTACTCAGCACACAGGGTAAGTGAGCAGGGAGGGATCTTTTTCGTAACTGCGACACGTGACCTCAGTTTATAGGTCTCATCCGAAAAACAAGTCTCCACGTCCCACAGTGGGATTGGGACCTGCGACGTAAGGATCAACTCCTTACTTCACGACTCTACAGCAGACACTCTAACCACTGCACCACGTATTCGAAGATCCCAAGGTGATATAAAAGAAAAAAATGTATACCCTACCTTTTTGTTATGCTTTATCAAGTTTATATGTACATTCAAAAGCGCGTATTAAAACCACAGGGAAGTAGATAAAAATTTCCTTCTTTGCAATCTTCCTCCTTTTTTCATTTTGTTTTTCAAATATTGATTCGTGAAGATTTAAATGCCTTATTTCTTACACTGTAAAGTATTAAAGAGGAAAAAAAAATAAAAATCGTACAGAAAATCAAGTAAAAGAGCCGAACTTTAAATGTCATTTTAATACCCTCGCTTGAAAATCGGAAGGTTATATGGTGATCGGGAAGTTTGTTCGTCCGTCCTTCTAGCCGTCCGTGTCCGTCCGTATGTCTGTCTTTACGTCCGTCTGTTATACTTTTTAGAACACTTTTTTAAAATCTTTTCTGCAAATCTTTTGCATAATCTTTAATACACAGTTCAATTGTGCACCTCCTATTTTTGTTAAAATTACCTTTTAGATCTGGGGCCCGTTTCATCAAAGGTCGTAGATTTAAGCCTTAACTTAGGTGTACTCCCGGGACTTACGCCAAAATTTAGTCAGGCGTAATTTGCATTTCACCAAGTGGCGTAAGTCTAATCGTAAACGAAACGCTTAGTCGCAGGACTAAGTCTTTGACAACGTTGCATTGCGCAGGCGCAAAAAATATAAACATTGTCCACTGCGTACAAACATGTATAAAATGCTAGCATGTAAAAGAATTGAATAACACAAATTATAGAATAAGACATACGTGCACTAATTACATGCATGGATTTATAGGGTCATGTGGGAGACATGTACCTTATAAGAAATCGATATTAGGGTTTTACAATTTTTTAATAACAAAAGTCTTATAAATTGAAAGTTAAAAAAGGATCATACATGTATTTCAGAATTTTATTAAAAGCTTAACTGTTTATTTTGGAATTTTAATTATATACTGCACCCCCCCCCCCCTCTTCCCGAAATTGATACAGGTTAATGACTTCGCCTTTGATAATCATTTCATGATTCGATAATTACTGACTCTACGGATAAAATACTAATAAGTTTACGATTTTAGAACATTATTTAATGTTAATATTAAACCTAATCAAAAAATAAATTTTACAATTGTGAAACAGAAAAAAGTCTCAAAATGGCCCATATTAAGGATAATTTTCCTTTAGAGAATAGTGTCCACAGCTGTCACTCACTCTAATTTTTGGTATCTTATGCAAAGTCAATAAAAAATTACATATCTCAAAATCTTTGTGGGCTATGCCTGTGGACATTATTATATGAGAGAAAATTCCTTTGGAAATTGTTGTCTTCTGCAACTTTTTAAGAAAATTGGGGAAGATGCACATGTTTATGATGTCTCAATTAGCATTTAAAAACACAAGGGAGATTATTTGTATGATTTTTTTTTTGTATGCAATTTCAATACTCTATAAGCAGATTTTTTTAGAGATGGATTAATTTTGGCATTATTAGCGAGGGTCCGGAGATGCTAAAATTGAATATCGCCTAAAATGTTGTGTTTTAGTTGTAATAGAATCTTTAGTGAGCATTTCAAAATCGCTAATATTACTTCTCGCTAAAAATTAAATATCCAATATCTAGGACAAATAGCTAAATTCGCGTCTCGCTACAATTTCCACTTATACGGTAGTTCACAGAACAAGCATTTTCATTTTTTACATCAGTTTCATTATTTTTAGAAAATCACAGGGCAAGATTTGTATAAAAAACAAAGCTTGTTCTTTGATGGCATGTGTACCACTCAGTGATTCATTGCTCACAGTTCCTCTAGTGAATTTTAAAGTATCAACCAGCTACGGCCTTTGACTCTTGAATATACCCCAAACCATACATGTAACCTATATTTGGACCAACAGAGAAAACAGATTCATTTTACAATTTTTATACACATCATTTATGGAAATGACAGCAAAAAAAAAAAAAAAAAAAAAAAAACAGTATTCAATCATATGGCATACTGTGAAATCACAGGTTTTTATTTAGGTTAAGTTTTGTTTGTTTTCTCTCGAGGTATGAATAGATCAACAAATATATGTTCACACGAAATACATTATTTACCTTATTATATCACCACTGTACTATTCTTTAACGACGAAATCAAATCCCAATAAAGAACAATCTTTTCTCAAACCAATATATTTTGGCCCTTGGTAAATATGTAATTTTGCATCAAATCTTTTTCAATAATTCTTTTCCAAAATTTCTTTCAACCATTCACATAAGCCAGATGATAGGTCGTCCGCTTCGTGATGGGGGAGCTCAGGGCCAGTTCTCTTTTCCTGCGCTGCGTCAAACCAAAGATATTAACATATTAGGTAGTTTCTGTTCTTTCGCCAAGCACCCCGCACTAAATGTGAAAAAAATCTTTTTCGGATGAAACCTTAAATTCTGAAGTCCCGTGTTACAAAATTTGTTGGTACGATACATGAATCTCTCTTATTAAAGGCCCTGAGTGCTTAGTATACTATGTTGACCTAAATTTGAAGTCCTTCACTGGTAATTGGCAACTTCTCTACATGAATGTTTTACTTGCAAATATCACATAAAACAAATTCACCAATGCCTTTGATGACAAAGTAATAATCAGTGCCTTATTGGAAATGCAACAGGTACAATTGCTTGAGTTATTGGTTACAATTTTATTTTGAAAATGGGTAGAGTCTTTCTTATCCATGTAAAAGCAGTTCTAAAGTTGGAATAATCATAATTTTAATAACTGGATAAAATGAAAAACAAAGTGAACATTTTACAAACAAAAGGGTGCAATTGAAAAGTAAACATGTATATTTTCATTAAATAAAATACAAATTTTATGCCTTAATATTGTGCAGTTGTCTAAGATTTTATGATCTTAAAGATAATGAGTTAAAGAAAGTAATGTATGTTTTTTTTCTTTATGCAGTTTGTGATTCATGGAACTGTCATTTAAACAAAAACACACTTTTAGTCCTTTTCAGCCACAGCTTTGTCCAACCTTTCTTTACGCAGTACAGTTAAGGTGCGCAATGGAAATATCGGCTAAATTTTGTATTTAAAAATGTATTCGTAATCGGGATGGCGATTATTTTTAGTACATTATTTATATCGGATAATATTATTGTAATTATGATTAATAACTGCATATCGAGGACAATTATATTAATAGACTAGTCACGTGATGCGGCAGTCACGCGATTTTAGCACATTGACCTGAAGTATTGATGTTACATATAAACATCACTAGTGCAAGGGCATAACCAAGTTAAATTTCCAAGTTTAGTATATAAATATTTTCAACATGTATCGTAGTTTCTAAAAAGTGCTGCAATCCTGTCTAAATTCTGCAATTTCATTGTTAAAAAAATACTTGTATGACCGAATGCTATATTTTTTGCTGGTCAGCGGCATGAAATACTGATCTAATTAAATTGTTTTTAAGATTTCATCAGGATCGCAGCACTTTTCAGATACCTTAAGTTATTAGTTCTATAGTTGAAATGTAAAAGCTTACTTTGATCCAAAGAGTGTATGCCCTTGCACTAGATCGATTTATTAAGACCCCCAACATTACCCTCCGATGTACTTGTATACAGATAAATCGCAGTGTCAATTAAATACATAATGTACAGAAAATATATTAATAAAATAGCAAAGAAGACATTAAATTCAAGTTATTGGCCTATGGAATATCTGTAAATAATATTTTATTTAATTAGAGAATACATATTTTGTTGAGAAAATATTACTTGATCTGTCTCTCACTGCGTACAAACTACGTCACGTTGTAGGAAATGACGTATTATTGACAAGTGTATTGCGATCAGTGCCTTGTTTATAACTTGTTATGTGGGATTTAACTAACGACAAAACAACACGATGTAGTAAGTTTTTATGCAGTTTGATGATTTCTTATTGGTTAAATTAGCAGATAAACTCATTTTGTGGTATTTTAAAGAAATGTTGTATGACGTATATTGTGTATGATGTCATAGTCAAGTTTTCCCATACAAATTAGGCTCCGCCTCCTTTTTGTAACCTTAACTGTGCTGCGTAGGACCGTTATATTCATCACGATTTTAGTATTTAGCATGTAGCAGCCTCAGAATGAATTATCCCAGCATGATCGTACGTGCTTTCCTGTTCCCGTCTCTGAATACCTTGTGTGGTTTCATAATCGCAGTCTCCACTTCCTACTACAAAACCTGCGTGATCATAGGTTTCTTCCTTAACTTCCTTGGGGAAATTTGTTTCTCCAAGGTGATCATAGACTCCTTCATTTTTCTCAGTATAGGAAATCTTTGCCCTAACCATTCCCCTAACATCTGAGCATTCAGGACTCTTTGGCTGTGGTTCCAATGAAATAGATTTCTTGCTCCTTGTCTTGTCTACTTGTGCATATTGATTTGTATCATCCTGCTGCTGATCTTCTATTTGATCAATGTCTTGTTCGCCACATTTTCTCCATCTTCAAAATATTTTTATTACAAATAATAATCAGAAAAGAACATGCTGTAAGAATACACTAAAAGACTTAATAGCAAAATTAATAAATAGGTTATGAATTTAAAAAAAAACAGCTAAATGTCTAGGGAATTTTTAACTTTCACTATATTTGCTTTTTTAACTTCTACACAGCATTGTATGACTTCCGATCGCTACTACATGTATTTAAGGTCGAACGATCCTTTGCACAAAAAATGACGTCTTGTTAACCGCTCAATTGTGATATTTCTGATCAGTAGTGGCGGTAAGAGAATATTTATGAACTATATCCATAAATTTTAACCCTTTATTTTATTGTAGTATATTTTAACTTTAGTAAAAACGTAAATAACCTATTTTATGTAAAATCTTGTAAAATAAAATTACAAAAATTAATAACAATACTTTCGAGTAATGGTAGAAAGACTGTCGTCAAATATGACGTTACCAGTCTTGGCATGACGCAGTGAAAGTGATCAAGAGGAAGAGATTACAGTGTTACTGGTTTGTTATTTATAATAATGCTTCAGTAAAAATAAATCATCTTTTTACGCAATCATATATACCTAATGAAAATTATTTATTTTATTCAATGAGTTTAGAATATGATTTTTTTTTAAGAAGCAGTGGATCTGTACATGGACAAGGAATGCATAGAAAATCGCTCAAACGATTTGCGAATTCGTGATTAACATCAAAAGTCCAACAGCATAGACTAGTTTGATTGAGCTGAATTATGGAATATTAATTGATTGTAGAGTGAATAGTGTAAAAAGTGCTTGGAGCTGATCTTTAATTCATAACACATTTTAAGCAAAATCGAAGTTTTTTGCTATTAATTGTTCGCATTTACGGCAGAATTTTTAGAACTTCCCAAACAACACAAATGAACCCCCAGAACTTAAAAAAAACCTGCTAAATGTCTAAAGAATTTTTAACTTTCACTATATTTGCTTTTTTAACTTCTACTCAGCATTGTATGACTTCCGATTGCTACCACATGTATTTAAGGTCGAACGATCCTTTGCACAAAAAATTACGACTTGTTAACCGTTCAATTGTGACATTTCTGATCAGTAGTGGCGGTAAGAGAAGATTTGTGAACTATATTCATAAATTTTAACCCTTTATTTTAATTGCAGTATATTTTAACTTTAGTAAAAACGTAAAAAACCTATTTTATGTAAAATCTTGTAAACTAAAATTACAATAATTGATAACAATACTCTCGAGTAATGGTAGAAAGACTGTCGTCAAATATGACGTTACCAGCCTTGGGATGACGCAGTGCAGGTGATCAAGAGGAAGAGATAACAGTGTTCAGGGCTCCCACTGGACCGAAAATATTTTTCGCCACTTTTCAGAAAAGGCATATGGAAAGGCATACTTACATCTGATTTCTCGACAATACAATGTACTTTATGTTATTCAATTTTCTTTACTATCTTTATAACAGACATTGATTTAAAATTGTAATGTTTAAAGCTTATGGTAGTATCCATTAAAAAAAACTCACGTTGGAATTATACAATTAATTGTATATTGAATTGATATCAGCGAAATCTTGACAGAAAATATCCTCTTGTTTAATTTTTTTTTTTTGCTTGGGAAGGGGAAAGGGGGGACAACAGACCTAGTAAATATATATGACTTTTTTTTTTTTAATGGAAATTTTCATCATTTTATTAATTTAGAGAAAATTAGAAAAGAAGTATAATTAAAAAGTAATGAAAATTAGGTTTAAAACTTTATTTTAGCAACTTGGAGACTTCAGGGATTAATATGCAAGCTCATGTAATTGTAAATAAATCAGTGTAATTTACTAAGATAATTTTGTTTCCAAACCAATTTCTTTTTCACTCTTTGTCAGTTTATGGTATAATGTGCACATTTTTCAATTTTTATTAGGTAAAATTTGAAGCCATTCTTTACAATTTTCGAACACTTTATCCCCCTTGTTTAATCCAAATAATATATGATTTCAAGTAATTTTTTAACCCTTTATTGCTCCAGGCTAGTCACCTAGTCAGCTGTGTTCGGTCAAGCGAGACATGATTTCCTGAATGTAGCTTTCAGTTTTCACACCTCTACTGCATTAAATAAAGGGCTTTATCTGTATACATTGAAAAAAAAAACAAAGGAGCTAAACAGGACTACACAAATTTTGTACATGGTATATCTAAAAAATTCATTTTCGCCACTTTTGGAAAAAAAAACTGCAATTGGCGACAATGGCTAATCTCAGCTCGAGCACTGACAGTGTTTCTGGTTTATTATTTATAATAATGCTTCAGTAAACATAAATAATCTTTTTGACGCAATCATCTATACTTAAAGAAAATTATTTATTTAATGCAATGAGTTTAGAATATGAATTTATTTAGAATCAGTGGATCTGTACAGGGAGAAGGAATGTATAGAAAATCGCTCAAACGATTTGCAAAATCGTGATTAACATCAAAAGTCCAAAAGCATAGACTAGTTTGATTGAGCTGGATTATGGAATATTAATTGATTGTAGAGTGTATAGTTTGAAAAGTGCTTGGTGCTGATCTTTTATTCATAACATATTTTAAGCGAAATCGAAGTTTTAAGTTATTAATTGTTCGCATTTTCGGCAGAATTTTTAGTACTTCCCAAACAACACAAACGAAACCCCAGAACGTTTCTAGTTCGAGGGTTTAAAATTGTTTGAATGTGTATCAAATTGAATGTTTTTCTTAAAAAAAAAGCGTATGCCCTTATACTTTCCTTACTTGCTTCATTCAGCTAAACGATTCTATGTTTATTCCTGTCACGTGACAAACAGCTGATACATGTGATGTTACTGATACTTTGTACAGCCAAGTTTTATCCATTATTGATAGCTATATATCACATTTTATAGATGTACATGCTCTTAGTTGTTGCATGTTTTAAAGGTTAATACATATTAAAACGATGCAATGCTAACATTTTCCACTACGATCCTTAACATAGCTGATTAATAAATTAAAAATATATATTAAACAATCGTAAATCATCTATGAAGTTCAATATTCTACCTTTCTGTGGCTATTATAATAATCTTCACAAATATTATTCCCTTCAAATCCATTCTTGTGAAACTACACTGCTAAAATAGTTAATTTTACTCCTTGTAACATTAATCAAGTTTTTATTTCAATTTTTATAACAAAATCTGCTTTATCATCTGTACTCAAGGCGTTATTACATAACTTCATACCTGATTATGATAACCGTCGCTCCTGTAAGCACCAAAACGGATGTAAGAATGATACTTATGGGTAAAAGAATATTAAGATATGTCTCTATTTCTGTAACAATAAAGCAAACAATTTAAATCATATATTTACATTAATTCTAATAAAAATGTTTTAAACATATTACATAAAAGACATTTACACTTGGATTTATACTGGGAGTTTATCTCAAGTGAGAATTTAAGAGATAATCTTTAGAATTATTTTGCTACAAAATGTAAATAAAACAAGAATGTCTGCTATTGCAAGCAATAACGTATGTCACGTCAAACTGGACAACACTTTTATTTTCCATCACTTAAACAATACCCATTAGCTAAGCTTGGACAACTCGTACCAATCCTTACAGTACTTTGTATAAAAAATAAAGTTAAAGAATATTCCCTTTTCCCTTATTTCCATGGCAACTATTAACAATTTGAAATTGTTAAATGCAAATCGCACATTTACAGATACTAATCATTAAATCAAAGTTTCTTGATGATATTCAAAGGACCAGAGAGAACACTCTCGGACAACATTCTTCGCTTTTTGTAGTTTCCATGGCAACGGTAGACATTTTAAAATTGAACGTCATCACTTCAAAACTACAACCAGTGATCGTCTTTTGAGGAAAGTTTCAGGAAGATTGTATCAGCCATCTCCGAGAAACAACAACCCGTAGAGCAAAATCAAGCGTACAATCGCAATATAATTCAAATCGTAAAAAGAAAGTATACAAAATGTGTTAAAAAATAGCTTTTGTGATAAAAAAAAGCTTAGAGAAACATTTTTTTTCATATAATCAGGTTTTATAACACGTTTTTATAGGCTGATGTCTCGATGAAGTATTGAAAAAAAATTCAAGTTTGATTATTTCCTTTTTTTTTTATTTCTGGATATTGGCCAACAACAAAAAAACAAACTGAAAAGCCATTAAAAAATAGTCTTCGGTCGGTACCAGAGAACTTTCCAAGATATCCTTAATTCAGTTAAACAATCAAGAAGGGGGATGAATAGTATTTTGAAAAGAAATAAACTTTAAAATGTATGATGCGTAAACACAAGACATACAAATTCAATTGAAATGTTTGACATTAACATGATTGATCAAAAACGTGTTTGATTTGAAAATTCAAGCTTAAACATTTTTTTTTTATATTTGATCATATAATGATAAGATTAATCGATTGTACATATATATTATTTAATGTCCCTCTCGAGATTTTTCACTCATATGGAGACGCCACCATTTGCCGGTGGAGAGCTGAAAATTTTGTCCTATACTCGGCACTCAGGGTTATTGAGCAGGGAGGGATCTTTTTAAGTTGTAAAATTGCAATTATTATACACATATTGATTGATTGATTGTATATTGTTCAACGTCCCGCTCGATGATGTTTCACTCATATGGAGACGCCATACCTGCGACGTAAGGAGTAAGGATTGACTCCTTCCTTTGCTACTCTAGAGCAGACGCTCTAACCACTGCGCCAAGCGGGCGACTATTATGATGAGAAAAGGCATTACAATTTATGTTAGTTTGAAATGACGTTTTACCCGATTTGAATTACCTGCACCAGAGGATTCTGTTTGAATTGTAATTTTTGATTGAAATATGGTGTTCGCTAAAGTTGGTGTTCTAGTCGTTGTTTTGTTTTTCAAAGTAGAAGGAGTAATTTTTGTGTTAATTGGTTCAGCTGTTGATACTGATGTCGGTGAATTGTTCCTCACATTATTGGAAATCTCAACTGAAGGAGTGTTTTTGGTCGTTGGACGAACCTAATGATAAATTTAAGATAGTTTTAATCACAGTTTTAAATTAAGCATTCATATGTATTTGTTTTTATACAAGTCTAAAATTGATTTTAACATTCAAATACATTAAATTTTTCTTCTTATCCAATGTAATGTCAATTGCCCTAAAAAAAGTCTTCTGTAACAAGCAAAATTATTTGATGAATATCAAATAGTACAAATTAATTTAGGTTGGCTTAGGTATTATCACAAAATATGTTTGGTACAAGTTAACCACCATTCATTTCGGTCTCAAATATCGAACGAGCTATCCATCTCCTGTTAACCGGAACTTTCTGGAATCTTCTGGAACATCCAAGCATCGTGGCCAGATCAGTAAAGATGGAAAGAAAAATGATAATCCGTCTTCAACAAACGTACCTACAGCATCATGCCCCCCAGTAAAAGATAAAAGAACAGTTGCCAATAAACTGCGCAGAGATGATATCGGGACAGCAACCAGAGGTAAAGGCAGGAAGAAACGTCCCCGCCCGGAGGCGCAAACAAAGCGTCCCTCGGAGGACCCTCTCCCTCTCCCACCTCCTGCAGAGCCGACCCTGTCGGGCCATGAGACACATACAAGTACTGATACCGGACAAGAATCAGAGTTACCCGGTGAGTCTCAGGTCACATTACACGATAATTTCCAACATGTGCAAAATAACCCAGTATGTCAGTTCAGTTTTGTTGATACTTTAGGAGCCCATATTCCTAATAAAATAAAAAAAATGAGGTTTGGGAAGGTCAGTTTATCGACTTGTCATTGCTCCTGAAATCAGCTGCAGAATTAGAGTATTTTAATTGCAAGGCAACCTGCAGATTAGGAATGGCACCTTATATGTTGCTAACCCTAAGAAAAAACACTTTCTTACCTATAGAGAAATGGACCTCAGCATTTTTTATTTTTACTAGAATTATGTTAGAAAAGTTTAGTTCTAAAGCACAGGATATGTCAAAATACCGGTATATCGGAGACATTCGGCTGGCAGCAAGTAGGTCCAGTACTTGGTTTAAGTATGATGAGCAGTTCCGTCTACGCAAACCCCATTCACCTAATACTCCATGGGGGAAAGTTAATTCTGAATACTAGCTTATGTATGTTTCAGCTGGAAATACACACACAAGTTATAGTCAGCAAGTTACAAGCGTGCAAAATACTCCCTCAAATAAAGTACCATTAGTCAAACAAACTGGGGGTTGCTGTTTTGTTTACAATGATGGTAAACCCTGTCCTTTTTTTCCCCAGATGCAGGTATAACCACATGTGTAGCCAGTGTGGAGGAAAACACCCTCAAGTTAAGTGCTCAAAACAATCGCTCAGTTTACTCACTAGGACAGACACCTGTAAAAACTAGCTCATTGGCAAAACATTTGGAAGGCTATAAACATGCCAAATTTTTACTTCAGGGTTTTACTTTTGGTTTAAGGCTACAATATCAGGGCCAACGGGGGGCAAGAGAATGCAGAAATCTCAGTAGTTTATATGAAAATTTGTCAATAGTTAAAAATAAAATCATTAAAGAGGTAGCGCTACAACGTGCAGCAGGGCCATTTTCAAACCCTCCTTTTGTTTGTTTACAAGTTTCTTTATTAGGTTTAGTCCCCAAGAAGGACGGTGATATGCGTTTAATTCATCACCTCTCATATCCAGAAGGAAGTTCTATTAATGATCTTATTGACCCTTTTGCCTGCTCTGTTAACTATGCAAGCATTGATGAGGCAGCAGATAGTATAGCTTCTTGAGGAACTGACACATTATTGGCTAAATCTGACATAAAATCCGCTTTCCGTTTTATCCCGATATCACCAGCTGATTTTGACCTCTTGGGGTTTAAATTTCAAGGTTACTATTATTTCGACAAAATGCTACCCTTTGGGTCTTCCATAAGTTGTTCATTGTGGGAGAAATTTGCATCATTCTTACATTGGCTTACAAAACAACATTCGGGCAATGCTCATATTATTCACTACCTTGATGATTTTCTTTTTTGTGGCCCCAAGTCTTCCGCGGTTTGCGCAAATCCATTGCTACATTCTAGAACCCTCTGTTGCAACCACTATTGAAATAACGACCACTATTTAAATAATTATATCAATAGTGGTTGAGAGTGCATTTCAATAGCAAACACAGGTAATAACCACTATTGAAATACAACCACTATTGAAGTAATTATTTCAATAGTGGTTGAGAGTGCATTTAAATAATAAACATAGGTCATAACCACTATTGAAATACGACCACCAGTGAAATAATTATTTCAATAGTTGGCAGGATTAATTTCAATAACAAACATAGGTTGCAACCACTACTGAAATAATGTTCACTTTTGAAATAAAGATTTTAATATGGATTAAATTATTGATTTCAATAGTGCATTGAACAATGAATCCAATTTATATTGAAATAAATATTTCAGAAGTTGTTGACGTGTTGACACTTTTCTTTCGATACTGAAATTATTTCAATAGTGTTTGAAACCTATGGTTATTACATTAAATGCACTCTCACCAACTATTAAATAATTATTTCAGTAGTGCTTGTATTTCAATAGTGGTTGAAATTTATGGTTATTATATTGAAATGTACTCGCACCCACTACTGAAATAATTATTTCAATAGTGGTCGTATTTCAATAGTGGTTCCTACCTATATTTGTTATTGAAATGCACTCTCAACCACTATTGATATAATTATTTCAATAGTGGTCGTATTTCAATAGTGGTTACCAATTATGTTTGCTATTGAAATGCACTCTCAACCACTATTGATATAATTATTTCAATAGTGGTCGTTATTTCAATAGTGGTTGCAACAACCCTCTGTTCAGATTTAGGCATACCGATAGCTGAGGACAAGACTGTAGAACCAACCAATGACTTAGTTTTCCTAGGCATTAGATTTAACACTTGCAACATGACCTTGTCACTATCTACAGATAAGATAGAAAAATTGCAAGAAAACATCAATACAGTGTTGCAGGCCAAAAAGGTCACACTTAAACAAATGCACTCACTATTGGGACTTCTAAACTTTGCTTGCAGAGTGCTTGCGCCAGGTCGAGCATTCTGCAGACGCCTCATTAATTCTACCATTGGCATCAAAAAACAAACCACCACAAAATCAGAATAACACAAAATATCAAACTTGACCTACTCGTATGGACAACTTTTTTGAAAGACTACAATGGAGTATCAGTTATTAACACCCCTTTGGTTGATAGTCACACCGTTCAATTGTTCACAGACAGTGCTGGGGGAAAGCGGGGTGGATGTGGGATATATTTTGGTGGCAAGTGGGCTGGGAGTCAATGGCCACAACACTGGGGTTCAGTGAGCATTCTTAGAGACGTGACAATTTTGGAACTGTTACCTGTGCTGGTGGCTCTTACACTTTATAACAAAGACCTACAAAACACTAGACTTCTTTTTCACATTGACAACATTTCAGTGGTACTCATTATTAACAACTCTACCAGCAAATCAGATAGAGTTTTAAACATTGTACGCAAACTGGTACTCATTACACTGCAATACAACATACAAATTAAAGCTTCATATATCCCTACTAAAGCAAACTCAATTGTTGATGCAATATCTCGTTCACAGTGGGCCCGGTTCCGACACCTCGCACCAGAAGCAGATTTCTTCCCTACACCAGTTCCAAACCATGTGTGGGATATCTAGAAGAAGAGGCATCAAGGCTTTTAAATAACTCTCTCTCTGCCAACACACAAAAAGCATACAACACAGCACTTGAGCATTTTCAAGGATTTCGTACAAAATATGGGTTAGATCAATCCTGGCCAGTCTCGGTAGATCAGCTTTTACACTACATAACCTTTTTGTTCCTCCATCAGTATTCATACCGAACAATATGTTTGTACTTAAGTGCCATTTCTCATCATCATACAATCAACGGTCACAACGACACAACTAAAGTATATGTAGTATCAAAAACACTTGAAGGCCTACGTCGATCAGCCGGAGTAAACAAAGATTTACGAATTCCCATCTCTCTAAACATTTTCATCAAAATTATTCAGACCCTTCCGGTTGTGTGTCGATCTTCTTATGAAGCTTCACTTTTTGCTGCATCCTTCTGTTTAGCTTATTTTGGTTTATTTAGAGTAAGCGAAGGTCTGTGCATTCAGCTCTCTGATTTACCTTTTGTTTCAACAGATAATCTCACAGTTAAAATCCAAAAGTCTAAAAATGATCAGATAGGTCTATCAACTTTAGTCATATTAAAAAATCAACCTGACTATAAGATCCGCCCTGTTAATCAGATCAGAGAATATATCAAATCTAGGTCAAGCAACTGCAACTTGCTGCTTTTGCATGTGAACAACAAACCCATTACACTTTTTCAATTTCAATCAGTTTGCAAAAAGCACTCAATTTCTTGAAGTCCCGGTTCATTATAGGTCACATAGCTTTCGCATAGGTATGGCCACCGAATTGGCAAAACAAGGGGTATCAATCAACCAGATCAAATCACAAGGGAGATGGAATTCTCATGTTTATCAAACTACATTCTTACAGATTTTTAAGGTCTCAGCTAGGAAGAACTTTAAAATCATTAATAATTGTAGAATTATATTTCAGTATGTTTCAATTTTATATGCTTTAAACACTTTTAACAGTTAGTCCTTTCTAATTTCAACAAAACTTTCCAAGTGTGTCCATCTGGATAATTGGATCCTCAATACCATACTGGGCAGGAGTAGCAGCAGAACATAGGCCTTGGGGTACTAATTTGAACTTGCCAGCTTCAATAACTTGGAATGATGTAAAGGGACTTCAGTGGCATCAGGTTGAACAAACCCTAACAACTATGTCTGTTAAATTTTCTCCCCCTGATTGGTTAATTTTTCATGTCGGATAAAATGACCTGACTTCTGGTGACATTACCTCAAAATCTTCCTCACATATGGCACAATGCACCTTATACAGATACAATGTACGAGGGCCGTTCAAAAATTACGCGGACTTGTTGCACAGAAAAAAAAATAGTTGACTACATAATCGGGCAAAATGTCACACATAATATAAAAGAATCTTTATTTATATTTTATTCAAAATTTCATATCAAAATGTTGTAAGTTGGTATCAATTTTGAGTGATTTATCAGGACATATCATTAAGTCACGGAGCAGCTAAATCTTTGACGTCAAGGGCATTATACAAAAATATGTGATTGAGCTTTCATTTTCTCAACATTTTCCCAAGAGTTCCTGAACAGTTTGAGTTACCTTATTTACTCAACAATCCAAACACAATTTCTTGTCACGCTAAAAATCTATTAAACAAGTAAAGAATATTATTCTTTTTTTTGTTCTAAAACCAAAAACTGTAGGTAATTATGAGATATAGCGTGACATTGGTCACTCTCAATCACGTTTTTTACGGATAAGGTTTTTGCCGATAATCTTCCTCCCGTCCTCCCATATAGCCTTTTTACAGAGGTCTAACGGTCTAAAATTTCAAAAAGCTATTTGTGGACGAATGTCACAAATACCCTGGTTAACTACATATTTTATTATGCATATTTTGGATCTATTTTGGCGATATCTCGAGCATTACACATAATTTTACAAAATTGTGGTGCGCCGTCAATTCAGGAGACGTCATCTTTACAGTCGTTTGCTCGGGGATCACACCAGGGAAAAATCACTGTATTTCTGTTAGTACTTCGAATATCAAGTCAGAAATCTAAATACATAATAATAGAACAGTTTAAAGATACATTTGAGAAAATTGTCGAAAAATATCGCGAATAATAGAAAATAAATGAGTTAAATTTTGGATTCCGCATGCTTTTGCTTCAGTTTTTTTGTCTTGCTCCGTACCTCTCCGTCAGCGATATCAACATAGCGATAATTTTAGTAGAATTTTTCTTAAATACAGAAATTTTGCCTAAAATTTATTGAAATCTTAAAAATACATATTTCTGTGAATTTTCATAACTATATGACGTATATAAGAGTAAATAATAGCACAGTCCGCGTAATTTTTGAACGGCACTCGTACTGTGGCCTAAAACTAAGCTAGTCTGGTCATATTTACTCCCAAGGCGTTATTGGCATTATGCACCTCTTGGGGACGGGTCAAAAATCAATACGAAAAGGGTCAACAATAAATAAATAAGCCTATTAAAAAATTATGGTTAAAGAAGTAGAGAGATGTGTTATTGAACATGATCATAATATCAAAGCAACAGAAATTGACCTCTATCGTACTGATGGCACACACTTATCTAATGTAGGCAACCAAATATTTATGAATTATCTTCAAGCAGCAATGCAGTTTTTCTTGCAGAACAATCAAAGATTTTTTCCTGCCACAAGCCAGTAAAACAGAAACTTTATTTCCCTATGTGCAAACAGTAGTAAACACATGGATGGTTAGAGCATAGACATTTATATTCATCGCTAAATAATTTACTTTTTATGTTAAATACAGAACATTGTTATAATTTTGTGGGGGACATTGTTCAATGTCTGTAGCGGGACTGGGGAGTGTGTTGCGGTAGCTGATCATTAATTCTGCTCCAAAACCTGTTGTCTCCTCCCACCTGCTACTAAAGCAGGGGGCAAGATGGTTAAAAAAGTAAGTAACAAAAGGGAGTACTTAAAGGTTAATTGTAATAGAGAGGCTCACAGCTGGTCAATAGCTGGTGCCTCATCCACCTCTTAACCTAGGGAGGGGATCCTACAGTCTGGGGCATGTTCTTAGTGCAGTCTACTGGGTCCTCCCTTTCATGCATTATACCAGGTTGCTCTCAGGAGACGGTCGAGAAGGGCAGGCATCACAATCCTTCTCAGAGCGCGGTGACCCGTTCAGGCTCTGAACAGTAATATGTTCACATAGGGCTCCCGGTGGGTCCCCTACATTGGGTAGTTAAATTGGAACACTGGCCGCCTCCCCAGTTCCACACAAAGTTTTTGTATGCGACCTTTCCCACCATATATTTTGATTTATTGTCTGTTTCTTTGTCTGCATATTAAAAGTTATAAATGTGCAGGCTTTCTTATGTTGTGAATTCTGCCAACAGGCAGCTCCAGGGAGTCATAGTGTACTATCTCAATTAACACAGTTTTGTATTTTACAGTAATTGTTTGGTGGTTTAAAGACAGTGATTCTCTGAGTAATGTATATTTTGAAAAAGACTGAACAGTTAATGTATCATTTATGATGTAGTACAAGATAATGGTAAATCCAAGCACAGGGAATATAACAAGTTTCAATCATGGTGAAGGCTCCATATCTAAGTGCACAGTAGTCAGCTATTAAGATAAATTTTAAAAAGTAGCCAAGTCTATAATTAATAAGAACTGTTTCAATAACAATTTGAAGGATTTCCACTTTGGACACAAAAAAATCCTTCATTGACTGTAGGTGTTGATCATAAACATGACATAAAAACCTAACCGCTTACATGTGGCATGTCAAAAATAAGCTAGGAATTATCAAAGATAAATAAAGCAAACACACTTACAATGTATCAATTAATTGCATAAAATGTTATCTGATGTTCATGCTATGTCAGTTATGAAGCTTTCTTTGAAGTAATATGAAAACAATAAATTAAAACGAGCTCGAACTTACACCTTAGATTGTATACTCTGCCAGTTAAAAAAGTGATTAATGCTAATCTATAACAACCTTAAAATAAGTCAAATCAAGCCATAAAATGAAAAACTGTTTGGGAAAGAGACCACCATGTGCACTACTGTTACAACACAATAACGCAATTAAAATTTACAACAATCAGCACAATATCTACGCCCAGAGGACTGTCAATACCCTGAAAAAATGTTTAGTGTCGTAGTTGTCCACTGGCATAAAATATTCTTTCAAATTTCTTTACAACAGAAAAAAAATGCAACGGTGAGACCAACATATCCGCAGAACATGCATTTTAATTAACAAAAGTGTTATGCTATGGCTTCGTAAATACCGGAGAAAAAATATTAGAACATTGACAACTGTCTTTTTTTTCGTTTAGCGGCATACTGAAATTATTTTTACTTTTTTAATTTTTCTCCTTTAAAATAGATTTTTTAAGTTCTAAAACCTTTAATTTTCTAAAACCTAGTACTTTCCGGAATTGAAAAAAATTTAGTGGGTCACGCAAAAATTCTACGTTTGTCAATATTCCCCTTTGTGCGTGAAAGTGTCATTTTTGAAACCGTCTTCACATTGTGCATGCATGTGCATGTGTGCTAAACGTAATGTGAAGCGGTATGATAAGTTTTGGTGAGATCTTTGTAACGTAGGCAACCCAGGTTAATCCCAACATTAAATTATTAATATACAACAAAATATTTTTTTATAATTAGAGTAAAATGAAACACGCACCCCAAAGCATCTGTACTGTGCGATTTCTGAACAGTTTTGAACCATAAGACATCCTCTCTTAGAGCATCTTTGACACGTGAGAGGAGTAGCCCTATTTATTTCAATATCTGGTAAAATCGTAACAAAGACCAAATATTAATAATAAATTTATAATACCTGAGGTAAAAGCTTATTCATTCTTTTCAATGGCAGATCAAAAATTATACAAATGGCATACACGTATGTACTATCGATTATTATGTAATATGATAAACATATGAGTGATATCAAAATCTCATTATATATAAAACTGGATAATTAATGGTTAAACATATCGATATGAGGTTTATTTCATTAATGAATCAATCGGTTACAATGGTAATGGTTTCATAACAATCCCTCTTCGTAGAAAAAAAAAACCTCAATCATAAACGTCATACTTTATATTATATATTTCTAAAACATTTTATTTGTTCCCACCATATAATGTATATATGTACTTGCCTTTTTTATCGAAATCGCGATAGATTTGATTTGCAATACCAATCCAAGATGGACCAACAATCCGACCTCCATGACGTACACACGCTTGGGTTACATTTGTTAAAGAAAAGTCACCATGAAGATATGAGGGAAATGATGAATTTTTACACCTCTCCATAGATTTTTGCCAGGGTTGATTATCAAGGTCAACCTCTCCTTTGAAAAATATCAAAATTTCAGTTTTGCATTTATACAGTCGTGTATCAAATTTATTATTAACAAGAATACGACGACTGAATCCGAACAAAAAATCTTAAATTGATTTAAGTGATTTAAAGGATAAAAGTTATTAGCATCTTTTAAATTTGAAAGTAAGTTCATAGCTTAATTCAAGCGTAAGATAATATATATGCATTACGTAAATGGAATATAGAATTATGTAGGGACCGTAAGAATTTGTTTAAGATTTACCTTCTCTATCACAAATCCTCGAATAAGATAAATTACAGTCGTTTTCATAGAGGTATTTAGAATCACCACTGCACTGTATTGCTACGCATGCTGTATTTATAGTTGTCTCTGTGCTTTGAATTTCAGATTCAGTACCTGAAAATATTTATATTTCCATGGGCCTTAAATATTGAAAGTTATATTACTATATATAACTGGTAAGAGTTCGATATGTTTACCTGAAATGTAAACGTTGTAAGCCGTTTGACCACCACATTCATTGAAAGGTAGTACTTGCATGTCTAATAGTGCTAAGCAGTTGGAATTACATTGACTTGGAGGTAAAGACGAGACACTTGGTAGCTTATCTATACATGCACATCTTGATTCCTTCAAAAAGTAGATAGCAAATCCACATTTTACATGATATGGAATTTTCAATTTTGATAAATGTGACTACTTGGTGTCAATATCAATTAAAAATAATGTACATGTAGATATACAGTTATTACAGTGATTTTTTTTTTATTTTACTTTATCTACGTACCTTTATTCCGAAAAAAATTGTCTTTCTTTTTGTACAATATTCCTGACACATCCCAATGGAAAATACAATAGATGTTGTTTTTTCATTTATTGAAATAGCATTCTCATCATAGCAACCTGAGTAAGAATTTACTGTATCTTATATAATCCATTTAAATAAACATCAATATATACTCAGTTATTAAAAATTGTATATCAAGTATCATATTTTCATATCTGTTGTGTTAGAAATGGATATTGGAATTTTTTTCCTTTAATGTAATATAATTTAAACGAAATATTTATATTACTATCTTTGCTTCAACTATTCATGTTGGTACATGTGTATAAGGTAAAAATATTAATAAACAATTAAAAGAAATATTACGAAAGAAAAAAAAAATATTATAAAAACTGCATACTATTTTATTACCTAATATTTTTATCCACATGGAGAGCTTTTGATAATATGCTGTCCAAAAAAATCCCTCTTTTTCATCAGGTATGGCAAAAGCTATGCTACCTCCCAAGCTCTGACAATGTCTGTGAGCGTCATACCAAGATCCATTGAAAATTTGTTCATAACTCTCTATAACAAGAGAAGAGCAATAAAGAAATTGCAATAATTATACACAACAAAACATAAATAAATCCCTTTATCAATGAGTGAAATATTTTTTTAAAGAAAGTACAAATAATCACATAAAAATGCCATGATGACATAAGATTAAAGCTTTAAAAAATATTGTAAATATTATTATATTAAACAAGGAAAAGAAGAAAACGTGGACAAGTGTCAGACAAAATTGTTTTGCAATTTGAACCGTAAGGGAAACCCATTCTTTCAGAACCTTTAAAGTTTATTTACAATTTGAGCTTTAGAAATTATATTTTCTATTTTCTGATGCCCTGTATCGATCATGCAAAGAATGATTTTGCCCAATCAACAAATTAAGCTTCATATATGATCAAATCAAAATAAAGATTGTTGCACATTCAACCATCATTGGATATCTGATAATCTTATAATTATTTAATAATAACTTTACTTCATGAATTGATTGCATGTGTACAGCAAAAACCCAAACTATGTCTTAAATATGACTGAGATTACTGCTATCTAAAATGTATTTTTTTGGGATCCGAATATCATTGATTTTTTCCAAAGATCAATAACTTCGTATACGAGGGTTGTCCCATAAAATCGTGGACAAAGCGTTTTTCTCGAAAAATAACGGACGTAATAAGCTGAAATTTTCAGTGAATGTTTATCTGTCATATTTAAGTTAAGTATAATGTTTTAGATAAAATATACAGAAAAGTATAAATTTTATAATGATTAAATGTGCACAGGGTAAGGCCCTACGGCCCACGGTCAAAAAAAGAAGGTTTTATAAGAGAATACAGGAGTATCGATTTAAAAACAAAATATTTAAATAGATAAGATTAGGGTAAAAATTATCCTTATTCAATTCCACAATTTATTTTGTTGTCTTCTTAAAAATTTTTAATGTATTTGGTCAATTTTGACAGTTTCCTGAGCATTTGTAATGGGAAAGTGGTAAACACAACACACGAAAAATGGTGACGTTTGGTGACGTTACCGCGCACCGGAGATCAGTTCACTATGATTTAGATGGAATAATAACGCCATATGAAATTTAAATGAATACAGAAGAAAAAGATCCCCCCAAAATTGCCAAATCTTTAGTATATAAATTGGAGTTTTCTGAGTAAAATCTTTCTTGATCGAGTCCCGAGGTAATAAAAGACATACAGACAAACTACAATTGTAATAACTAAAGATCCCAAACAGAAAAAACAGCCTATGGGATCATGCTAACGACTCATGTTTAAACCATGGTTTTGATATGATTTCGGTATAGGAAAATTTCACATGCAAATGAGCTAATGGATCATGGTTCTGGGATGATTTGTTAAACTAAACAACTAGTAAAAAAACCATGATCTTGGTATGATCTGTTGTAGCTAACAACTCGTATTAAAACCATGATCCCGGAATGATCTATTGTAGCTAACAACTCGTATTAAAACCATGATCCCAGAATGATCTATCTTAGTTAACAACTCGTATTAAAACCATGATCCTGGTATGATCTGTTGTAGCTAACAACTCGTTTCAAAATCATGATCCTGGTATGATCTGTTAAACATGTTAAAGTTAACAACTTAGGAAAATTCTACTTCTGATACAATTTTACTAAACACTTTGATATTTGCAATAAAATCCCTTTAATATTTAATATTTAATTTCAGTTACAAAAAAAAAATTATACACATGTCACATGAACCATGACGTCATAAATATATAATCCCAACAAATAATCTTCCTTATAATCAGATGACAATTTAAATATAAAACATTATCCAAACTATTCACTGAATTTTATAAGAACAGAATCACAGAAATCCATTCTTCTTAAAGAATAATCCAGCACTCATTGAAATCACTGCTTATTTACGATTCTGCAAAAGCATATTACAAATTTTTGTTCACTATAGAATCAGCAGAATGGTGGATCTATTATTCAGAATCACAAACACTGAAAAGGCTCCCAATTAGGTAGTCTATCCTCTGATATAAGCTCTCTATTTGTGTAACACCTTGAAAAGAAACGTAGAGAAAATGGTATTTATTTATAGATCAACATAATTATCATTATCTTTAGATCATGAAAATATGAAAAATTCAAGTACTTTCCCTATTTCATCATGTTCATTAATGAAAAGAATTAGATTAATCACTAAAAGAATAATATTGTTAAAATGTAATATTTATTACGTACACAAATTCTGTCTTCACCAAAGGCAGGTCTTTCGAATGTGGTAATTTGAATGCAACTCAGATGTTAATCATGAAGATGGAACTGATCGACAGTAGCTGCAAAAGAATTTCATTTTTATAAATAAACATTTTATATAATGATTAACATTACAAATGTATATGTACAACAACTATTTGAATCAAGGAGGTCAATTTGATGCTTAAATAATTAAGTTTTCAATTCAAATCTATGTAAAGCTTTGTTATAATGTCTCTTCTATACACATGCATATACAATGAAAAACTAAATCATGCACTATAACTGGTAGAAGCTAGAAATTTTTTTTTAAAAAAAATCAATAATAAAATTAATTAATTATACTCACCGAGTAGAGTTTATAGTCCAGCACTTGTGTTTATTGCTTATATGATGCAAAGTCTTTTCTTTGAAATCGGCAACAAGAAAACGCGCACATCTTGTTTATCAGAATTCAAATTCTGACCTAGATAAGCTGTAAACCACTATACTACAGCGTGCTGCCCGGCAGGAGAATTGCATAACAAGGTTACTACGACTCTGAAACTGACCAGAGAGCCAATCCTAATCTGATGCCTCAAAGTTAGATTGGGAGTGGATCGCAAATATTATATGGAGAGAAAGATTTTAATAAAATCCTAGCTGTGTTATTTAAACAGTATACTTGTGTGCTAATTTATTTATGAATTATTGTATTAATTTATTTATTTGCCATTTCATTCAACTTCAAAAAAAAATGATTGTCTTTGTAAGTACCAGTATACGCTGTGAGTATTTAAATTATTAAAACTTAATTTTCCTGTTCTCTTTAAATTCTAAATATGGCTATTATTGATGTATGCATGTTGTTTGATTCTCCAAGCTAGATTGAATTTAAAGCTTGCATTTTCACCTATCATAGATGACAAAGTTAACAAACCATATCAGGATCATACAACCAATTCTGACAAAGTTAACAGATCATATAAAACTCACAATTCTCAAAAGAGAAGTTAACAGATCATGTGTAACTCGTATGGAGTTTAAAGACAAAGTTAAGAAACCATATCAAAATCACAAACTTTTAGCAGTTAAAGTTAACGAATCATTTCAAACTCATGTTCCTTTGTTTTCTAAGTTAAAGGCACATGCCAGAATCGCAAGAAAATCACAGCAGACTCATACCCCCGAAACAAACCACATCAGGATCATACTTCCTTATTTGTCATCTATGATTTCAGTATGATCCATTCAATGGATCGTGTCTAAATCATAGTTCAAAACCATGAATTCGTGAGTTTGATATGATTTGTATGTGATTTTGGCATGATTTGTTAAGAAAAGTTTTTGTTTGGGATGCTGTCAATGTTGACCGCGTCAATATATAAGATTGTTTATTAGTTGAATGATGTTGGAACAATGTCCGTATCTTACTAATAAATCATCACAAGATCGTACATTTGTGCCAGATTTGTTCCTCAATTGTTTATGTGTTAAGTATGTGCTTCAATGAAATTTTAAAATTTAAGTGGGACTTATATAAGTTTATGTTTAGTGCAAAGATGAAACTGGAGGTACCTGACGCTGCTTGAGGCACTTTGATGTTATCATCCGTGCGCCGTAAGGCGATACAATATATAATATTAAATCTCATAATTCGTTTATTTATGCATATATCTATTTGAAAGTTATATTTATTCAGAAAATATGTACTAAGAAGAAGTGAAAATTTCAGAAACAGTGATGATTATTATTCATGCGAGACAACTTGTCCACGATTTTATGGGACAACCCTCGTACAATTAAATAACGAAAACATATATTTATCAACTAAGGTATTTGATAGTTGGAAATATTTATTTCAGCAGGTGTTAATTTTATAACAAATTTAAGAAATACTGCTTAGATTGAGCGATTTAAGATTTGAAGATATTTTAGTTGCCCTTCCTGTAACATCAACAACATAGGACCAAAAAGTCTCATAAAAACACATTGAAATAATCTTTATAGTTAGTTTCGAATGTTTTACAAATTCATGTTACACAAATTGAAATGCAAAAACGTCTAAAGTGCTCTGTCTACTCTCTGTCTCTCCGCCTCTGTCTCTGCTTTCACCCCTAGCGCACACACACACACATCCTCTTCCACATATTCTCTTATAATCTACATTTGTTTAAATAGGTCCTATAGGTACGAAATGAAATTTGTGCGTGAAAGATTTAATCAAGGCTTACAGTAAATATTTACCCATAAGTCCAGTTAACATAACAATACATCCAATCCACCAACAATTCATTATTCTTCCTTGAAAGGTTAACTTATTCTGAACATAGGAAGACACTGCAAGTTATTACATGAATAGATTGTAACCAATGGTTTTCCTTTTAAACCTCTTTGACTCTCTTCAGATTCTCTATGAAAGAAATACATAATATATATATGAGAGAGAGATCAAAGAAACACGGTGTTAATGGATGAATATGAAAAAAAAAATATTCACATATATAAAAACAAGGAGAGCAAATTAAATATACTGAATGGAAAAGAAACAAAGGGTTAACTTTTGAGGTTTATCAAGTTTATTTTTCTCTATGCGTTTTCAATTATTTCTGTCTAACTATTAAAATAATCTTCAATGAAAATGTAACCAAAATTCCATTTGAATTTGCCTCATAGGTCATAAGTAAGTGAAAGAGATAGGACAACCTCCCCCTCCCCTCCATGTGAAAATTGAAAATTCTCATAATCTAAAATGTCTCCTTTGTGCATCTGTCGGTGCCTTGTTTCTCCATTCCATGAAATTTGTCTGTGTGTTTATCCTTTTTGTCTGTGTTTTTAACCTTTTCGATGAGACCATCTTCGGCTTTTCCAATCCTATCTTTCATTCAGTAGACAATTAATGAGGAAAAGATTAACTTTATAGAGACGAGTCAAGTGGATTAATGTTATTGTTTGCAAGAATATCTTTAAAAACCTAGGCTACAATGGACTTGGGTAAACGCGCAGAAAAAAAAAAATAGGCAAACGGTGTGCGCATGCGCCAGTGAGAGGAACAGTAACGTAAGGTTGACCAGCTCCAAGGTCCAAATCGAGCTATTCTTCTCAGCTGATTTCCTCAGTTTTATGGTGTATGTAATGATTATGATAAGATACATCTTTACTCTTCAAAAAAAGAACACATAGTAGGAACAATGCCCTGAAAAATGTATGATAGTTTTATCATACCTTTTATTTTTGTATGGATACGATGTATTCGAGTAAAATGCATGATTTCCAATGCAATTGTTAACTTTACAGCTATTCTAAAAGTCTCACAGACAAAAAGACCTGATTCTGCAAAATTTCCCCCAAATATTTTGATCTCAATTTTCATTTGTTGAATTTCTATGCAATTCCTTAAGGTACAAAGGGGCTATCAAAAGCGGGGGTTCTCGATATTTTTAATCTGGTTTTATCTGAAAAATGAAGCTTCCAAAAATGCTGCATCTGAATGTTGCATGGGACAAAAAGGAAAATGGGCGACTGGAAGCAGGGATACCGTAATCTACAATTGCAAGAGGTTTTAATGTTACAAACAGACCATATCTAACCTATAAAACATAAACCATCAACATCGAACACCCAATGTTCGCAAAAAATAGAAAGTAGACTACGTGTGACATCAGCAGCACAGCATCACTTCCGATGATTACGTAAATTGCATGAATGTAATGCAAGGACGTCATCTAAAGCACTAGCTATCCCTGAATTGCACAGATCATCCAACAAGACCGTTTTTAGTTGACTACGAATTATTGCAAGAGGATAATTCCGACCCCACAACACTCCAAATATCGACTTCAGAGATCTCAGATCAATAGAGTATGACTACAGCATCACTGCTGAACATTTTGAATAACTTACTAGTCCAGAGTGTTTATCTGAAAGCCTCTTAAAAGTTTAAGAGTGCTAATGCTTTGTTATGAATGTTAGACAGATAAATGCCTCCAGGACGTTAAAAAAGCTGGTGGTGGTAGTGTAATGATATGGAAAAGGGTATTATAAGAAACTAAGATTGATTTGGTTTGAATTCAATGGACTTTGATTGAAAAAGGTACTCTAACCATGTTCTACCTACACATACCCATTCAAGTTTGCAACATCCTAGAGCCGTATTGCAATCTCACAATACACAGCCCATATGGCTCGTTTGACACACCTATTCGTGTAAAGAAACACCAACCTGTTTCAGCCACAGTCATCTAAATCGTTAGATTTAATCCAAATTAAGCAGCATTGGACAAAATGGATTGGCATGATTTGCCAAAGACAATCACATCCCCAGACTCTACAACAGCTGACAAAGTTCTACATTTGAAGTAAGAGAGTATTCCTATGCAGTTTTTATTACACACATTTGCTTCCATTAGATGCCATTTGTGACTATCATTTGTGTCTGCGGGGGGCAAACCAGATATTGATCTTTTATGTTCTTAAAATGTCTTTAATTTTAAAATTGTTGAGTAATTATGCTATTTAGATAGTATTCTTGTTGCTTACCACATTTCTGTTGTATCAATGCATCATTTTACTAAATAATCTTTATGTTCAATGTGTCACTAAAATTCTACTATGCGTTTCTTTTTTTGAAGAGTATATTATTAGCAGTTTAATTGCAGTAAGGTGGAGATTAAACAGGTGGCAGAACGAATAACCCGATCTTGACTTGGCCCTGTTAAGGTATTCAATTCCTAATAGGATCAAATTCAATGAAATTAAATACATAACAGATAAGTCGGCATTGAATACTCAGTTTATTTAGACATACTTCCCATTTATTACTATTAGTATGTATAGTGGGATATGTCCTAGTTTATAACCTTGAATTTTGGTAAGAGTTATCTCCCCTTTTTTTAATTAATAAAAAAAATCAATTAAAAAAATTGTAGTCGGTAAAAAAATTGTTTTCAATTGTCATTCTATTTTTAATGTTTCGATGCATCTTTCCACCGCAGGATTTATTGATATTCAAAGTATTAAAATTTTTTGTTTGAAAAAAAGGAACGCTTTTCCCCATAGACTTCAATGCAATCTTTGTTAGTTAACTACAGTACTGCTTAATTAATGAAATTTTTGAAACTTTCTTGTGTCAATCCTTTTCATTTTTAAAATACTTTAATATAATATCAGAGTATTTTGTATTTGATGGACATTTAAGGGTAGGGAATTTGGCCCCATTAGGGATGGAAATCCTTAAGTGTCAAAGTCATCGTCACGGTTGATTGGAAACCATTTAAGGACAAATGATACAAACAATTTTTATTTTTAAGGAGACTATATATAATGTCACAAGTTTAGAAAAGTGGATAATTCGTAGAATTTTTTCTCCAAAGAACTGGAAAATGAAATAGACTTGTAAAATATTACCGGGGTACTAATATTTCAATAAAAAATATGGACAAATCACAATCAGTAAAGGTTTACAGGTGAAAAAAAAATTCAAACACAAAAAACAAACAAACAATATAAATCACCCTACATCATAGGGTTTATTTTTACCATTTTGCTTTTCCTCATAAAATTCACCTGGTTTGGTATATTTTTCTGAAGTTTATATTTCACTTTTAGCACCAAGCTAACATATTCTGAAATTTTCATCTGTAAACCTTTACTGAGTATGTTTTATCCATTTTTATAATTTTATCTTGGACAGACGCAATATATAAAAGACAATTTTTTTATGGTTTTTCTATTTATTTGGCGCTTTTGGGAACTGCTGAATAATATAACAACATATTATTTCGGGCCTCCAAGCAACGGGTAGGCCCAGCAACAACAACAACATTTCAGTTCAACAAAAACATTTCAGTACAACATCAACATATCAGGTGACCTTGACTCTGGGAGATGCAGAGGTCAAGGTCAACAACATTTCAGTACAACATCAACATATCAGGTGACCTTGACCCCTGGAGATGCAGACGTCAAGGTCAAATAATAAACAAAAAACTTGCAGTGCAACAATAATATACACACATCCACGACTCTGGGAGGTGCAAAAGTCAAGGAAAAAAATAAAATATTTAGAATAATAATCACACATCCATGACTCTGGGAGGTGCAGAAGGCAAATCAAAGAAGAAGATAAAAATAAAATAGTTTTGTGTACAGTGTCACAATATTTACATAGTATTAAACTTTGACCCTGTGTGGTGCCGCGGTCCAATAATGAACCCATGTTACGTCATAGTTCAAATGATGTATGCCGCTCAGTTCGCCACAAGACCCCAGTCGTATATGCTTGAACAAAGCATCTACGAATGGGGGCGCGGCCACTTTACTAGTGGGGGTCCTGAGCGGCCTCAAACAGCCGTGACCCTTCCTTTCCAGATATCCGTCATTACTGTGATGGATAAAACTTGCATGCATGCCTAATTATTGGCTTAAATACACCCTGAATTGTTTTAAGAAAAGTTTATTTTTTTAACTTGGATAAATGTACCCCATTCCTTTCAAAAATTTTGACATGATTTTTTGATGTCAGGATAGTGGATTACAGAATCCCCAACATCACAAATTTTGTTAAAGAAAAATGCATTAAACCCCTTTCTAGTATTCTCCATGGCCAGATAATATGCAGAATAATGCCAATTAATGTGAGCAGAATATGAGCCCATATTAAGTGCGCAAGAGGAAATTGGATCTCCTTAATAAATTACAAGAATTTGAACCTGACATTCTTTAATTTTCTCAATGTTGTTTTCCCAATATCATCTCCTTAAATTATATACCACTGCAAGCTTGCCACCAAATTGAAATATCTAATCTTTGCAAATTTAAGTCACACCTAACAGGCATATTCTAAGCTTCTGCATAAGCTCTTTCTTTCTTTTTTTTTAAATTTCTGTAATTGATTACCCAAACAACTATATATATAACTTGAGGTAAATTAAAATCCTGGAATACGTTTGCAAGTTTTATAGCAATCCGATTTCCATCTTCCTAAGGATTGGATAACTTGAGATGAACTTGAGATAAAAATCCAAATTCCGTACTTGCCCCAATACAAAAGAAGTGGGATTTGTAGTCCCAAGACTCAAGGTTGAAGACCTGAAAGGAGCTACGGAAATAATGACAAATTAATTGAATTTCTGGGTATGTCTTATTTCTAAAACCTTGGAAGATTAGCGTAGGGGCAAGTTGTTTTTTTTTTCTGAGGATTTGTCGGAGACTGCTATGTATATAGATATTTTTTTTTCCTATTGCTTTATCTGGATGGACAGATATGTAAATAGATGCACACATGAGCATGATATCCATCCATTTTTTAATTGGAAATATTTTTGAGACATTTTCCTTTGTTACAATTTCTCCTGTGCACTAAGGGTTAATTTTTAAATCACACCCCCCCCCTCCACCCCGTTTAAGTGGAAGCAGAGACTGTACATTCTACAAGCTGGAAACCTGTAGACACCAATTTGAAAGTTGGTGTTAACATAAGTGATATAAAATAACATTTTAATGTTTGTAAGAAATAGTAATATGCTTACCTGAACTGTTCTTAAGAATTTATGCATTTTTTTAAGTTGAATAAATAGTCATCGGTTACAAAGAAATGAAGCAGAAAAGAGTCAAATAGTCAGAGAATCGCATGAAATAGAGTTATCAAAATGAAATAATTATCCTCAATGGCCTACATGATATCATTCGATTACTTTAATTTTTTTCACTTGGGACAAAGATGGCGGCTAGCACATGGTGATGCAAATAGACAAATTGAAATGCATCTGACCTGATCTAAAGTAAAACCTTTGTTATCGAATCGATACTTAAACAATACCAATTCATAAAAATAGCAATAGCAATTAAAAGTTTTTAAGGCAAGAATCTATTTCAAAAATCTACATTTAGCCATTGTTTTCTCAAATTTGATTAACACCAACCTTGCAACTAGCGTGTTACAGGCAAAGAGAGAGTTTGCAGCACGGGCACCTTTCTTTATATATTTGAAAGTTAGATAACTCGTGCCGAAACAAGGAGAGATCACTGCGCCAAAAAATATTGCGCTGCCAAGATAAAAGCATTTTATTCGCATATGGGCGAGATAGATGCTATATTACAAAACTAATATTTTCCAAGTCCATTTCATTTTCCAGTTCTTAGGAGAAAAAAATTCTAAGAATTATCAACTTTTCTAAACTTGTGTTATGATATTAAGTCTCCTCTAAAGATAAGATTTGTTTGTATCATCTGTCCTTAAGGTCCTCTCTGAAGACGGTTAGGGCGTACTATGGGGAGAAAATTTACTAGCGACTGCACAGCAACCCGTTGTTGCCTTTGTCCCTATTTAGGCAACCTAAAAGCCGGACGCCATGGAACTTCCGTCAATGTACAAGTAAACAAAAAGTGAATTTCTTCTACAAATCCTGAAAATCAATATGTATACCTCAAGTCCATCAGATATTATAAGAATATTTTTGACAAATTTGTCGTCATCAAGTTGCACGTGTTTTTAGCTTTTTAACACTTTTTCTACGCTTAGTCATACATTTCACGGTTGGTTAGATCTTTACACTTATTTTAGTTCTTAGTAACCAAGATTCTCATCTGACCAGTTACATGTACACGTACATGTATCATGATTTTTTTGTCAGGACTTTAACGGTCAACTTAAATACCACAGCAAATGACAATAAGTAATGAAAAGACGAAGGCAAGGGGAGAGTCAAAGACAATATAATGAGCAGAAATTTTAATATGCCTGTAGCAAGGCATGAAATTTACGCATGCCATAATTTTTTTGTCAGTAGAGGAAATAAAAAAAAAAACCTCTCTCTCTAATGGTAATTTGCTTATAATTTCAAAACATGAATAGAAAAATGAAGAAAAGGAAAGTATTACCACTGTTAAAACTGTTTCTTGATATTTTATTATAAGGATAAAAGACAACGCATTTTTCAATAAATATAAATTTTTATAGTTCTTAGAGTTCTTCTTATATGTTTTGCTTTAAGAAAAATGTTTTCTGAAATGGATCAAATTATATTATATAAATGATCACAATTAAATCCCGATAAGTTAAAAAATGCAGAAAAAACTTACCAACTACTATTTTTTTAGAAAATTATTGCCATTCACTGTGAAGATTAAATCTAACCATGATGCAAGGATTGTTTATTAATATCGCTTTCTTGTTCAAAGGGAACATATCTAACCTTATTTGAATAAAACAAAACACTTAAAGACTTAAAGTAGGTGTTCAAAATGAACTGGTTATTTCTATTATATTCCTTATTGCACTTGAACGATTTCACGATTAATTTTTAAAAAAGAGGAACTACTTATAAAAAAAACAATCACGTCACCACTCTTGGGAGTCCTATATTTGTGTTTTCCCTCACTTCCCAGAGAAACGCTTATTTGATGTGTGAAAGAGGTTACATTTTTTAAAAATATAAATGACATCATTGTATGTGTAATATTTTATCATATAAATGATATTAAGATAGTGACAAATAAATCTTTTTTTTTCAATGTATATAGATTCCACTATTTTTGTCATTATTTATTTTTAATTAATTAATTAAGGTCTTTCTTTATTTAGTTCTTTGTTGAAATTCTGCACCAGTAAGATTATGTAAGGAAACTAATGACCCTATTTTTTTTTTATCTCTTTGATATATTTTCATATCTGAAGAAAACTATCATAATGTAAACCTTATAGATGTTCAAATAGTACTATATTATTATATCATAATTATAATTTGGTAAGAATATGGCCCGAAATTGTAATTAAATTGATCTTTTTTTCCTTTCAGAAAATGATTTTGAACGGTGACATATGCTATATTAATTTCTGAATATATTCACTGAAGTCAGTTAATTAAATTTGTATTTTGAACAAAATAATTTTTTTTAAAACCTACATTTTATAACTAGACGCATTTTGTTACATCATAAAGGAAAAGTCAGTTAAGTGCTGCAAAGAAGAATAACAATATCCCCTCAGAATCTTTCTCTCTTGACCCATTGACTCCTTATTTCCTCCTTCTTCAAATTTTTGCTAAGTGCGTTCACTTCCTAATTATAATACACATCATCTTAAGCATGTTCCAAGATGTTTCATACTATAGCTAGTATAATGATAGTTCATGTAGAATTATCGAAAGACCTGTTTTCTCTACTTTTGATACATGTACTTTTACTGTTTTTACTCCGATTTGTACATTAAGTAGTCTGGGGGTCAACAAATTAACCACAATTTAACCAACAGATTTAACTTTGTAATGTTTTAGAATTTACTAGAATTGTTACAGAATCTGTTTATAATTGATTTTACACGCAAGCAAAGTTATCTCTCTGACTCTCACAGAGTTCATTAACAAACTGACATTATTCTGTAATTGAGTCACCTATATTTCCTGATTCCCAGGCTCCGAAGACTATAAAATATAAAAAGATTTTGGTGCAAAGACGCTTACTTGCTTACTGATATCCAAGGTAGTCAGGCTGTATATTTTTGTACTTTTTAGATAAACTACTAGTATATAAAAGATATTCCGGTGTTGTTTTTGATATATTACAAACTTATTTTTTTCGATACGGTATCTTAAGCTGTTAACTATCATTTGGCAAAGAAAAAAGTTAGTATATTTTAGTTTTAAAATTTGATCATTTTTGTATACCTTTACATGGAGCTCTTCTTTTAAAGGAGACCGAAGTAGTCTTAAAAAGGCTGCCACCCCCAGCCTCTTTAAGGACAGATAATACAAACAGAAAAAATAGATGCTTGTATTAGTATTTTTTTTTGCCTAATTTCATTGAAATTGACGCAAATAGCACATTTCTAGAATATAAAGAAATATTTGTGAACAATCTGTGAAGTTAAAAATCTGCCCTTCTGGAACCATCCTTATTCAAGGAATCGCTGTCTAGTCAGGAGACTATGCCAGGGCATCAACAATAGTGGGAAATATATAATATAATATTCAAAATGGGCGATGCCCTTAAAATGCTAGTTTAAGGATAATTTTTTTTTTATACTTGTCTTCTAATTACATACTCGTTCAATGCATTCTCCGTTATATTACAGCTATCTAGCATATTATATTTTAACACAATAAGCAGTAAATATTGTGCATTCAATTGTATGACTGTACATTATTTGCTGCTTTTTATTTAAATGATAATGTAAGTTAGGCAACATATATACAGTACCAAACAGATACAACTTACGGAAAGTAGTCCCGGGGACTACTGGTTGATGCTACTCGAGCAGTCCCAAAGCGACTCCAGCATGCATTGTTTGAGCAGTCCAAAGTGCAGTCCCAACAGTCTCAGTAAACGGGGAACTAAATAAATTTAAACGGGTGTAGCTCACAAATATCAGAGATAATCAATAATCAATTTCAATGTTATAAAGGGGACTCAGAATTTGATCGTACACTTCTTTTCTGAGCTACTAGAAAGTTATTTAATACATATACATATAAAAATAGAAATTTTTTTTTATACAAGGGTCGTTCATGAACGATGTCAATATCCATTTTTAATCACAAGAAATTTAGAATAAGCCCAATATAAAATGTATTTATTTTGTTGATGTGTGAAGTTTTATTCCATTTGAATTAACAAAAACTAATTTACTTTATATGAAGAGCAGATTATACAAACATGTATTTTTTCTTTGGAGGAAATTTAATATCATGTCTCAAGTTTAGAAGAGTGGATAATTCTGTTTAAAAAAATTCTCCTAAGAACTGCAAAAGGAAATAGATATGGAAAATATTAGTAATATTCAATAAGAAGACACATATAGACAAAACACATGTACACACATTAAAGGTTTACATGTGAAAATTTTTATTAGAATAACTAACCTTGGTGCTAAAAGTGTAATATAATCTTTAGTTAATTATACCAAGCCGAGTAAATTTTCCGAGAAAAAACGAGATGGCAAAAAATCAGTGATATCACATGGGCTAATTTTTACCATTTTGCCTTTCCTAAGAAAATTCACCTGGCTTGATATATTCTTTTAATGTTTATATTACACTTAAATTGAATCCTTAAATTCAACATGTTTTGTACCACGGAACACACTGAACGGCAATGTATCGTCAAGGCATAGCGTCCAGAACTTCTAAAGAAAAAATAAATACTGGCCCTACACATTTCGTACAGTAAATTCCAATGCCAACTCATTAAATATATTTTTTTTAATGCTTGACATTCATTTTCTTAAGAATTCTTCTTGAATAATTTCCTTTATTTAAGTTTTAATTCCATTTATTTCTTAACTCAGCTTTCACAGGATACGTAGCTCTGAAACGCCTATGTCTTTTTTGACGTTTCAAATTTTTAAATTTTTTGTTAAGAATTTTAATGTTCAACACTTTCTTCACAGATTGTCCTCATCCGATACGGAGTCTTTGTCACTCAAATACTTCCTTATTAATAAAGTGATGTTGGATTTATCCACGTCTTTCAGAAAGAAAAAATCATAATAACTTTATTTTTGATATTTTTTAAAATCTAAACTGTTTATATGCAATTTGTTCTTTAAAACTATACTCTTCAAAAAAGGAAACGCATAGTAGAATTTTAGTGACACATTGAACATAAACTTTAAGATTATTTAGTAAAATGATTCATTGATACAACAGAAATGTGGTAAGCAACAGGAATATTATCTAAATATCATAATCACTCAACAATTTTAAAATTAAAGTCAGTTTAAGAACATAAAAGATCGATATCTGGTTTGCCCCCCGCAGACACAAATGATAGCCACAAATGGCATCTAATGGAAGCAAATGTGTGTAATAAAAACTGCACAGGAATACTCTCTTACTTCAAATGTAGAACTTTGTCAGCTGTTGTAGAATCTGGGGATGCGATCGCCTTTGGCAAATAATGCCAATCTATTTTGTCCAATGATGCTTGATTTGGATTAAATCTAGCGATTTAGATGACTGTGACTGAAACAGTTTGGTGTTTCTTTACACGAATAGGTGTGTCAAACGAGCCATATGGGCTGTGTATTGTGAGATTGCAATACGGCTCCAGGATGTTGCAAACTTGAATGGGTATGTGTAGGTAGAACATGGTTAGAGTACCTTTTCCCATCAAAATCCATTGAATTCAAACCAAATCAATCTTACTTTCTTATAATACCCTTTTCCATATCATTACACTACCACCACCAGCTTTTTTAACGTCCTGGAGGCATTTATCTGTCTAACATTCATAACAAAGCATTAGCACTCTTAAACTTATAAGAGGCTTTCAGATAAATATTCTGGACTAGTAAGTTATTCAAAATGATTAGCAGTGATGCTGTAGTCATACTCTATTGATCTGAGATCTCTGAAGTCGATATTTGGGGTGTTGTGGGCTCAGAATTATCCTCTTGCATTAATTCGTAGTCAACTAAAAACGGTCTTGTTAGAGGATCTGTGCAATTCAGGGATAGCTAGTGCTTTAGATGACGTCCTTGCATTACATTCATGCAATTTACGTAATCACCGGAAGTGATGCTGTGCTGCTGATGTCACAGGTAGTCTACCATATTTTTTGCGAACATTGGGTGTTCGATGTTGATGGTTTATGTTTTTATAGGTTAGATATGGTCTCTGTGTAACATTAAAACCCCTTGCAAGTGTAGATTACGGTACCCCTGCTTCCAGTTGCCCATTTTCCTTTTTGTGCTAAGCAACATTCAGATGCAGCATTTTTTGGAAGCGTCATTTTTCAGATAAAACCAGATTCAAAATATCGAGAACCCTAGCTTTTGATAGCCCCTTTGTACCTTAAGGAATTGCATCGGAATTCAACAAATGAAAATTGAGATCAAAATTTTGGGGAAAGTTTGCAAAATCAGGTCTTTTTGTCTGTGAGACTTTAAGAATAGCTGTAAAGTTAACAATTGCATTGGAAAATCATGCATTTCACTCGAATACATCGCGAAGTAAGGAGTCAAACCTTACGTCGTGGGATCGAATCCCACTGTGGGACGTGGAGACCGGTCCTTCGGATGAGACAGTATAAAACGACACCCCGCGTCGCAGTAGGTGCTGGCACGAAAAAGATCCCTCACTGCTCAAAGGCCCTGAGTGTCGAGCATAGACAAAATTTGTAGCCCTCCACCGGCAAGTGGTGGCGTCTTCATATGAGTGAAAAATTCTCGAGAGGGACGTTAAACAACATACAATCAATCAATCAATCTCTCTGATGG